AGACCCGAAACGTCAGCTTTCCTGCTCCTCTGATGCTGCTTGGCCTGCTGTGTTCATCCAGCTCTACACCTTGTTATCTAACATTCCATTAGCCTTCCTAACAGCTTGTTGCACCTGCATGACAGCCTTCAGTGAACTACTGACAAGAACACCTAGGTGTCTTTGCACATCTACAGTTTTCAATATCATTTAAGAAATACTCCACGTTTCACCTTCCAAAGTAACCACCTCATTAATCCACTTTATATTTTATCTGCCATGTTCTAGTCCATTCACTAAGCCTATACAAATCCACTTGAAGTTCCTTTATATGTTCCTCACAACATATTCCTGCTTAGTTTTTCATTATCCATAAATTTGGAAATATTACATATGGTCCCCAAGTCTAAATTGTCGATATTTATTTAGAACAACTGGAGTCAAAAATACTGATCCTTGCAGTACTCCACTAGTCATAGCTTGCCACTGCAAGCATGACCCATTTATTCCACACCTTTTTGTCTGTTAGCCAACTATTACTTGCTATCCAATCTGTGTTAATCCTTCTAACAAGCCTCCTGTAGGCCTCTTTATCAAAAGTCTTCCGTAAATCTAAGAATACTAATGTCCATCACTCTCCTTTATCATAACATCAAAATTTATTGGCAGAACAGAAGTGTTAACATTTGCTTATCAGTCATATACACATTACAATAATTAACTTGATTATAATTAACCAAGATCTTGTACAACTCTGACTTTAAGTATATTGTCAGTGTCAATGATGAACCAAAATTCAGCATCAGGCTTGGGCTTAAATGTGGCAAGTAACATTCACACAACACATGTGCCAGACAATGACAAACTCAAACAAGACAGAATCCAACAAACTCTCCCTGAAATTCAATGGCATTATCATTGTTGAATTCTACATGGACAACATCCTGGGAGTTATGATTATTCAAAAACTGAACAGGATCAGCCATATAAATATAATAAGTCAAAAGCTGGGAATTCTGCAATGGGCAACACACCTCAAGATCTATCCATCATCTATACAGCACAAGTCAAAAGTGTGAAATACTCTCCACTTGTTTGGACAGTGTACAGCTACAAACTGCTTGACACCATCCAGGACAAAGCAGCCTGTTTGATTGACAACCCATCCATGACCTTCAATATTCACGTCCTTCACCACTGATGCACAGTAGTAGCAATGTGTACCAACCACAACTTGCAAGGCAACAACTTGCCCAGGCTTCTTGAACCGCATCTTCCTAACCCATGACCTCTACAATCTAGGAAGACAAGGGCAGCAGATGCATAGGAACACCAGCACTTGCAAGCTCCCCTCCAAGTCAAACACTATCCTGACTTGGAATCAAATTGCTGGTTCCATCATAATCGCTGGTTCACAATCCTGGGACACCTTTCCTAACAGAACTTTGGGTAAGCCCAAAAGATTACAGCAGTTAAAGAAGGCAGTGCATCAGAGCAATCAGAGGTGGACAATAAATGCAGGTCTAGGCAATGATGCACAAATTCCATGAACAAATATAAAAATGACTGTAAAGAGGAGATAATATAGAAAATATAGCCTAACTATATCATTACCATAAAATAATCAAGGCAGTTTGCAGAATGGGAGGGGGAATGCAGCTGAAAGAGCAATTTACAGGTCACAGCAGCAGCTTTTAAAGGCAAGAACAAATGCAATGTTTAAAAGACATATGGATGGATTCATGAATAGGAAAGATTAGAGGGATATGGGCCAAACACAGGCAGGTGGGGGACTAGTTTGGATTCAGAACATGGTCGGCGTGGACCAGTTGGACCAAAGGGTCTGTTTCCATGCTGTATGATTGACTATATACAAAGGCAGACATTCAGGAAGATAATTAAGAACATTCTGCTAAATGTGGAGCGTGTGAAGAAGGGGTCCATGAGTAATGCACAGTATGCTAAAATTGGAGGCACAGGGCAGTCAAACTGAGATGTGGGATGCAAAATCCAGATTGTTATGCTTGTTTTTTTTTGACACTATGAATACATTTCTAGATTCAAAGAGGTGCTCATGACTCGTGCAATTCAAGTAGGACCATGCCAAATGTATACTGAAGACATTACGGAACATTATGAGTGCTCAGGAAATATGCAAAGTAGGCAGATCATAATCATCTACAGGTATTTGATGCATTTGAGCTCAATGCTCTAGCTGGTATACTCTAAAACATTCACAGCTGAAAATGTACAGCAGCAGGAAGATGCTCCATCAATACAATTTAAAAGGATGTCAACAAATTTTAGATCAGCTGTTGAATACTTTGTACCAACTGTTGGTTTGATTGTAGTAGTGGTTGGCGCTTTCTAGAGTTCTATAAAAGTTATCAAATTGATGTGACAGGCACTGAAAGACTTTTGTCTTGATTTCATATGACTTAATGCACAAAATAGCTGTTCTCAGACATGTGCTCACTAGCAGACATTCCCCTTGGAATACAGCACAATTGGGATAATGAATAGAAGGCATGTCCAGCAGGGTAAGGTGCAAGAGAGAGAAGAAAGTTGGACTATCAGCACAGGGCCATATTTGACCAGGGTGTTCAGGATACAATTCTCTAGCTGAATCTCAGTGAATAAGTGTGTTTGAGTCATGTGCCCTTCTGTGGTGGGTCCTTAAATGGAATGCAACTGGATGGCAGGATGAGGACTGCATTTCAGAAAGGTGGAATCAGCACATGGTCAGTCACTGGGAATGAGTAGCTTACAAACAGGGTTGGGGATGAACATAAGACGTGTCAGATTGCTGCAGGGACAGTTTGTAAATGAGTTATACTGCACAGAATCATGAGAAGCACTTTGCTGGGATAGGCTAAAGGCACACAAATGTTTTGTGCACTGACAGGCCTATAAGAAAACCTGTGTGTAACATCAAGGAACATGGAATACTGATCCTAAAGACCAACCTTTCCAATGTGAATGTGGAGACCAACTTTATGAGCATTCTTGAGAACACAACATCAAACAGTCAATGTCTCCTTTTCTGTGACAGCATAAGCAGAAGCCACAGAATGCATTGTTGTTTCAGCAGAAACAAAGGCATTTGTCATACAAGATAATTTTGACTTCTCTATTGCTGCAGCTATGTTCAATTATTTCATAGATATCCAATCTGCTTTCCAAGTGATTATGAGGATTGCTGTGGCACCACCCCAGGGGACTGCCAGTAGCATCTTAGGATGCCAGCATCCATTCTCTCAACTCAGTCACACCACCAGTATTCTTTCAGCTATCTTTCAATCATACAGCTCACCACAGCTTTCATTCACACAAGCTTATGATCACAAGCTCCCTGCTGAGTTATGCAGTCACTCTACAGCAGGTTTAGTGCAACCTTTGGTAATGGGCACCCAAAATAAAGTTGGTGTGCAGTCAACACCACACTGAGTGTGCCGAGGGAACAGACAAATCACAATTCCTCCAACAGTTTCTCAGAACAGTCCACCTTGGGCAGTACAGACTTTGAGAAGGCTAGAATGGTAAGGCTGCAAGAGACCATGAAAAATGTCAGCAATGAAGATAAGAATTTTGAAGACAGCATGTTGTCAAAAACAATCTAACCTCTAAATACAATCATTAGATGTTTGGGTTCCTTAGCTTATCGTTTTGCGCATAACCCAGATCTGGCCAGGTCCAGGCTTCCTTCCGGAAAGTTCTGAAACTGAAAAATAAAGCCAAAAAGAACTCTCTCTTCCATAAAGTACTGACTTTCGGGCGGGGCGCTGTTGAACGAAGATAAATGGGATCGTTTTACTGACATTTTCTGGATTCCTGCGACGTTACAAACGGGATGACTGGCTGTGGCTCCCAATGGATCAAATCTAGCGCCAGGCTTCAGTAACATTAGGCCGCAGGAACACATTGCGGGCTCAGTCAATGAGCGAACCGGGCCTGATGTGGTTCAGCGGCCAAGGGCAGTAAAGACCGACCGCTTGCTTACCTACCTACCTGAGAACACCACCTTCCCCACCCCCACAAGCGGCTGCAGGGCCTTTCCGAATCGGCGTGTACGACCCACAAGGAGGCGGCGACCGCCACTGACGGTACCTCAACCGCCGGGTGGAACTACCCGCCCAGATGCGGGGGCACGAGCGATTGTCACGCTCCAGGTTTGCGCGTGAAGCGGTCTCTGTCCGCTCGGAGGCGCGCTCTACTTCTCCCTCATCAACCGTCTCTCCTCCCCCTCCTACCTTCAGAACTAGGATGAGGTCATCCAGCGGTCAAAACTCATTGTGCCCATATCTCACAGAAAACTTTAAAAACAAAGGAAGCTTATCAAACGGGTTACGAATGTATGTCCAACCAGGTCATCCGCCTCCAGACGGCCTCAAGACTTACCGGTGGAGACAACTTGCTTCTCGCATTGGTATGTTGGCAAGATCGTGGAAAGGACGCAGGTAGACAGAGCTCATTAAGGACACGGCGAAGAGAAGAAATGCGAACAGGAGTAAGCCATTTGGTCGCTCGAACCAGCTCCACCGTTTGATAAAATCATAGCTAAGCAAAGTCTTAATTCCCCTTTCCTATCTGCCCCCTCCTAATCTTTGATATGTTGTTTAAAAATCTGTCCAGCTCAGCCTTGCAAATATTCAACAACCCAGACATCTTTGCCTTCTGGCTACAGAATTCTGAAGATTACAGACCCTCTGATAGAAGGAATTCCTCTCATCTCCGTCCTGAGAGATTCTTGGAACAAAACCTAGTGAACGTTCCCTGAACTGTTTCCACTGCAAATATATCCCTCCCTAAAGGGACCAAAACTAAACAGTACTCTAGTTCCAGAGATAGTAGAAACTGCAGATGCTGGAGAATCTGAGATAACAAGGTGTAGAGCTGGATGAACAACAGGCCAAGCAGCATCAGAGGATCTAGGCCTGAAACGTCAGCTTTCCTGCTCCTCTGATGCTGCTTGGCCTGCTGTGTTCATCCAGCTCTACACCTTGTTATCTCAGTACTCTAGTTCCCATCTTTTAGAATCATAGAATCCCTACAGTGTGGAAGCAGGTCATTTTCAGCCCATACCAACCCTCCAAAGAGCATCCCACCCTATCTCTGAATTTCCCATGGCTAATCCACGTGGCCAACACATCTTTGGACTGTGGGAGGAAACTGAGCACCTGGAGGAAACCCACGCATACACGGGGAGAATGTGCAAGCTCCACACACAGACAGTCACCCGAGACTGGGATCAAACCTGAGTCCCTGGCTCTGTGACGCAGCAGTGCTAACCACTGAGTCACTATGCCACCCTATTTCTATTCAAGATAAAACAGAGTCATTTGCTTCTGTTTCTGGCCGCACACCACTACCTTTGGTGTCCTACGGAGGATGTATCCTTGGCCCCTTCCTGTTTCTCATCCACAATTAGTAAGGTTAGCTTGGCCCCTTCCTATTTCTCATCCACAATTAATAAGGTTAGCTTCAGAGCTTGTATTTGCACCATCACTGACATTATCTATTTTCACCCCCATAAAATTGCTCAAACCAGCCTCTGCCTCAGCTTATTTGTTCCTGAAACCATTGTTCATGTTTTTGTTCCATTTAGACATGATTATTTCATCACACTCCTGGATAGTGTCCCACATTCTACTTTCTGTAACCTTGAAGGCCATCCAAAAAGTGCACTGTCCATGTCTTAACTTGAAACAAATTCTGTTCCAATCTGTGTTCACTGATCTACATTGGCTCCTGCGAAGCAACATAGTGATATTAAAATTCTCATCCTTATTGTGAAATACTTCCATGGCATTACAGCTTTTAACTCTTAAACCCTGGGAACCCCACACCCTTTGACACATTGGCACTCCTCTAATTCAAACTCGTGCATTCCTGATTTTAACTATTCTACCAGTGGTGGCTGTGCCTTCAGCTGCCTCAGCCTTAAGCTCTGGAATACTCTTCTACCATCTCTACACCTTGCTTTCCTCCTTAAGACACCCCTAAAGACTTATCACTTCAGATCAAACATTTTGGTTTTCTGACCTAATATCGCCTTTAGGTCGCTAAGTGTCATTTTATCGTGCCCCTTGTGAAGGATCGTACAATGTTTTATTATAAGCAATACAGAAATGTAAAATATTGCTTGCTACTGTTTGTTTCAACTTCCCAGTGCACAAAGTAAAAAATTAGATGGCTGAATTCAGTTTCCTTAAACCTGTCAATTTTTAGAATGAAAGCATTTTTCTACTTTTCCACCATCACAATACTTATCCCCACATTATAAGAAGATTGAAACCAGCAGTTTAAAAAAATGCTTGCCTTTCTGCTGCTTTAATCGTGGTGGTTACGGATTAGAGTTTCCCAAAAATATCCTGATAGATAATTGTGGGGCTGGTGTCTATGGCAACTTTGTGTTCTGCCCAATCCTGGCTCCTTGTTGAAATAACATGGACTACTTGCTGAGTCCTGAGAGATTTATATGCCTTAAGGTATCATATATTAGGCCACTCATTAAGAGCCCATTGTGTTGTATGTGATATCTTAGCATGAATAGAGGATTGGCTAACTAATAGAAGACAGAATGTTGGGATAAGGGGAGCATTTTCAAGTTAGCAACCTGTAACTAGTGGAGTGAGAGGTACACGGACACTGAAAGCAATGTCAACACGAGTCAGGGAGTCATTGGCCATTCTGCAGTCATTGAAAACCTTAAAAGGACTGCAGACAGATCAGCTTTGAGAGTTATGAAAAAAATAGTTGCAGAAGTATAGAACAGTATCTGTATGCATTCAGGCTTATGGCTAATAACATTCCCGAGATGTGGGTGGAAGAGACGACTACAGATTTTGAATCCAAAGTAAAGTCATTTGATATATTTTAGCCCAAAACAGTACCTTGTAATCAACTGAGTGTAATTTAATTAGAGATCCAAGAGACCAAGGGAATCCATCACATTGTTTCTCACACAGACCCATATAAGACTGTCAGTTGTTGTGAACATGGAGCATTGAAGATGAACTTATTTGTGATTGACTGTAAAAGATCCTCCAACAATGATTCAAAGATTTGGACAAACAGCTCAGCATGCTATGCAGGCCAAAGTGCTGAATTGGGCAATAATCTGAGGAAATGCCAAAACTTTGGAGGAATAAATTAGTTGGGTAGGCCACTTCCAAGCCTGCGAAAACAGGACAAGAGCAGAAAACAGCAGTCTATTTTGAAGTGTTTATGTCGTGAAGCTACAAATATTGCAGACAGCAGGAGTACCAAGCAGTGGGAGGAGAATGTTTCCAGTACAGAATACAGGACACTTCAAGCAGTTTTGCTGATTAAAATATGCAACAAAAGTGAAAAACCCTCTATATCTTAAAGGATCAAAAGATGGCTTCATTGAACAAAATTGCATATATAGAATATATGGGTCTTCAGGAAAAAGTAGATAAAGTTCTTCAATAAGATGGTAGGACAGATGGCTGGATGTCACCAGATTTCATGCATTAACAGCTGAAACAGTGATCAAATCACTGAAGAAAATCTTTTCTACAAATGGGTACTCAAATTAGTTTGTTTCAGATAGTGGTCCACAGTTTGTGAATGAATACCTTAGGAGATTGACAATGGAATCCTCAATAATCATGTCCCTAGTTCTTCTCTTCATCCACAGGCCATTGGAGAAGCTAAGTGTGGTGAAAATCTTAAAGATGCTAATAATTAAGAATAGTGATTGGGATCCACTGAATTACAAAACAAAACTGTTAAGTAACATAATTGCCAGCAGAGTTACTTATGGGCGGAAGGCTAAAGATGCAAATCTCAGTGTTACAGCAAAATCATGTTAAAGTATTTCATCTTAAGTCAACAACAGAAAAATAATAATCGAAAATGACAAAAAGAGAAAACAGAACTGGTAAAATTTTGAGCATACAACAAAGAATTCATCAGCTTTGGTACCAGTCAGAAGGTATGGATCAGGGATAGGAAGTCAGAAGGCACTGTCCTTGAACAGATAAGGTAACTTATTTCGTTTGATGTCCAGTGAGAAAGGAACAGCAGTGCTTACAATTAGTCGAAGTAACAAGAATGAGCAAATATGAATGTTACAAAATTTGAAATAATGAGAAAGGTGTGCTGTCTGTCTCGCACCAAATGTGTGCACAGGTCCTGCAGGTTCTTTTTCGGAGCTAAAATGACACTTACCATTGCTGAAAAACCAGGCACTAAAGAACCAAAATTTGTGGCCCCCAATATTTTGCAGAACCTTGATATTGCAATGTACAAACATTAGCCCAGATGGTCTGAGGAGTTGGAATCTTGTGGTGCATTGAGAGTCTCCTTACCTCTGAACCACAAGAACTGGGTTCAAATCCCATGTCGCATTGGTGTGTCACATCATGTTCACAGAGGTTGATTAAGATAACATGTTGCCACTACATTTTTGTTTTCCCCATTAAGACTTAGCTCCACCCTTCTAGCCAGCAATTCCTATCTTAGCTTCTTCAGAAATGCAGTGCGTATCTGAAACCAACAGTTTTATTGTAATATTCATAGAATTCATAGAATCCCCACAGTGTGGAAACAGGCCCTTCAGCCCAACAAGTCCACATCGACCCTCAGAGCATCCCACCCAGACCCATCCCTCTACAACCCACCTAATTTACACATCCCTGAACACTATGGGCAATTTAACATGGCCAATTCACCTAGCCTGCACAGTTTTGGACTGTGGGAGGAAACCGGAACACCCAGAGGAAACTCACACAGACATGGGGAGAATGTGCAAGCTCCACACAGACAGTTGCCCAAGGGTGGAATCAAACCTGGGTCCCTGGTGCTGTGAGGCAGCCGTGCTAACCACTGAGCCATTGTACTGCCCCAAATTTAATTAAGACTTACAGGAACTATTTTAAAGGAAGTAGTTTGGGTGAAAACAATGGAATACACACACTGAATAAATCGCTTTAAAATTGAGACAAAAAGGAAACTCTTTCCGTTAAACACTGTTAAATGTGTTCTCAACTGAAAATATTTGCGTTTGTTCTTGCAGCTAAAAGTCTTTCACATGAGAAGTCACAGCTTCCTGTGCTGGGACTGTGAGATTTAGTTTCAACGCAAAGTCCAGGATCTGTTCTGCAAATCTGATAATCCGTGCTGTGAAAGAAAGGTTGATCCCAGACATGGAAATCAAAACTGT